AATATATAGTTTCATGTATCACATAAATGCACCTTTTAAGTATAAGCTTTAGCTGATGCACATATCTGTACATGAGTTCAAGGGGCGTGGTTTCCATTATAAGAACCAATCAGAATTATGGGGGTTCTGACTGAATTACATTAGAGCTATGAAGGTTGATACTTAAATCTGACTGCTGAATTGAATAATTCAGAATTCATATAGCGTAATTATTATTAAAGAAATAAATTTGCTAATATTCAAAAAATAATAATAAGAAAATTAACGATATATAAAATCAAAACCGTTAAAAACGATAAACATACTTCCTGTTATTTTTAATTTTATATAACTTACAATTTGTTAGGTATGGATTCGATATATTTTATTTAGTTTTATTTTTCATATAATCTATATAGTTTTGCGATAGTATTTATATATATAATTAATTTTCTATTAAATTTGCATCAAATGCAATAACATTAAATTTTTAACTAATTATTATTTTATTTAATGTAAGTTTTAAAAGATGATTATAAAAATATTATTGAATAGTAAATATAAAATATAATTTGTAGACTTTTAAATATTATTATGGTTTATTACGTAATTGTTAAACAAATTTGAAAACTATTATTTATTAAAATTATCTGACACACCAACTATCAAAATTTATTTATTATTTTTCTAAATAATCATACGTTTTAATATTATTAAATAACATAAATATACAATAAATAATATTTAACATTATACTTAACGCTTTTTTTCATTCATATATTGAATAATACATAAATAATGTTCTAGCTGTAATTAATTTAAATAAAAATTTAAATGCAAATATAAAAAATAATTAGTCATTTTGAAATAAATAAAGTAACTGAACAAAATTAGTAACATAGATACGAAATTAGTAGCTAGATTCGGAAGTAGTGATGAGTTACAAATTAAACAACAGAACTAGACTATACAGAATGTAAAAAATACTCTATATATTAGTGAAAAAAATTTTAATTATTTTCTAAATTAATTTTTTATATAAAAAAGTGGTTAAAAACAAATACTAAAAGTACGAATATAATGATTAAAAGTTAAAAAGAATAAGAGATAATATGGTAAAGTAAATAAAGAAAAACTATATTCACTTTGTATTACTACAAAGTAAAAAGTAAATTCATAAAAGCAAAATATAATCATTATGAAAAATTAATAACATGAAATATTCATGTAAATAAATAAAATAAATGTAGATGTTATAATATATACAATCTAATATGTAACATTTTTGTAAAAACAATTCAACAGTATTGCATATTGAAAAGTGAAAATGTTATAATAATATAAAGTGTTTTGGAATAACAATTTCAAATCAATAAAAATCCAAACATAGTATAGAAGTTTTTAAAGATTAAAATTGTTACGTGAAAAAAAAGATATTAATTTTTTTTGTATGTAATATTTAATTTAATATCACATGTAATTTAATGATACAAAAGAATTCAAAATTAATAATGCTGTTCAATAAATACATTTAATAGATATTTTATAAAAATCAATCGAATAAAATATTTTTATAATTAATATATATGATAAACAATTCATATACAAATTATCACAGAAAGTACGACTATTTTATTATAATAAAAATTATAATTATAATTCTATATTTTTAATAAAAGTTATATGGTAAATGGCATTGCCTACTATTTTTCAAACGAGTTGCAAGTACGTCCATTTAACCATTAAAAGTTAATAATCTTATCCCAAAAAAGGTAAACTGTATATTTAGTTCAATAATAATACAGTATAACTATCTAATTATATGTTTATTATAAATATAGCACTTCAAACCATATTTTAGGCTAAGTTCTACAATTTATTGTAAACTTTACATTTGATTATACAGTCATAACTATGCTAAGTACTTAACCAATTACTTTATTTAAAAAAATAAACTTATAAAAAAACTAAAGTAAAGTGCTTTATTAAATACTTAACATTTCTGTTAAGTGTGTATGCCTATGCTTATTTGTTTATTAAAAAAAATATATAAATATAAAGAAACTTACAATACAAAATTAAAGAAAAATTTATATTCGATAAAGATAATGTTTATTTATTTCAATGAAAACATTTTAAAAATATTTTCTTTTCATATTTTATTAGATATTATATAATTAAGTTATTAGCAAATACTTCAAGCAGAATCGCTTGAACGTAGAGCATTAATAAATATAAGAAAATATATATCGACCTTTTAATTTTTGCATCAATCTACAAACGTAGGTCAAGTCTGTTTATATGCTTGTACGCCCACCTTTTGGTTTCTCATATAGATAAGATATGTAAACTTCTTGAGTTCATCATGAGAGCCGCAGTCGATGTTGACTTAACGATTTTGCTAAGAGGGTTAATAACGGTGTTTGTAAATAACACAATAATAAGATATACATAAATTAAAATCATACAATGTTATAAATTATTCATTAAATGTAATTTTTTTCCATCTAAATTAATACTAAAAATTAGTCAAAGTTTTATTATAAATTTTATAAGTCAATGATTTAAAAAGTTTAAATTAATATTAACAGACTTTTTTCAGTAAAATTATATACATACATAATTTGCGTAAGTCAAATTTTTGTTAATACAACAAGAGTTAAAAAAAATATTATTTTTAAAAGGTAGCAGAAAATGATGACTACTAGGTTTGATATTTTTATAAAAAAAAGTAAATTGTAACAATACAACAATTACAGAATATCACTACGACGTGCTTGAATTGTTTCAAAAATACAATTCGGGCAATCTGTCATATGTAAATTAACTCATACAAATTTAATACTACAAATTTCAAAGATAATAACATCAAGTGGAAATATGTTACTATTTAAATATTTCTCCGTCATTAAATTATACGTTCTATGAACAAAGAACTATTTTGTTACAATTCCATAAATTTATAAAAAATATTATAAAAAATTATATAAGTAAATATATTCTTTAAGCCATGTAAAAATTAATTAAACGAACAAAGACAAAATATATTTATTAAATAATAAATAATTTATTAAATGTAATACTTAGAGCAGAGAGCTTAGAAGTGATTGTTTCATTATAGCTACATTTTGTTTTACTGTTAATATTATTAATAATTAAAAATTTAAAGATCCTTAGAAAAAGTAATAATTTTATTACTCCCCTTTTGTCCATAATCATAATTTTATAGGTATTTATAGATTTTTTGGTATATATTTAATTAAATTAGGTTCCCAAACTTTGTAACGTGCATTTTTTTTGCCATGGAACGGGAAACATTAATAGTCGAAGATTTATTTCATTGACTTAAAGATGAAGAAAGGATTTTTATTGTTTAATAATTCAATAGGTGAACATATCCGATAGTAAAGAAGCAATTAAACTTTCTTCATTCAGATAAATAGTTGAATAATCGTCAATAATCAATCTGCAAGTATTGAAAATTTGTTTTAGAAGTAGTATTACTATCTTGCAAAAAATATTTTCTCGCATAAATACTTTTGATTAACCTTTGGTTCTCTAATATGACGGTAAATGAATATAGATTAATTTGCTTTTATCTATGACATTAACTATACCTCCGTTTATATATATATATATATATATATATATATATATATATAATAAATATCTATGAATGTAGGTTATTTCCAAAGACCTTTTACTCCATCAAATATTATTAATTTTCATTTTACATTTCATATTATTGAATATATTTCTCATAGTTTCAGTTATATTAAAAATTCGCACCATTTAATAACATGGTTTAATTGTAAGAACTACGCATTTATATTTGTTATAATATTTTATTATTTTCTTTTGGAAAATATAAAATTTGATCCTTAAAATTTGTAAGCACATATTTCAAGAAATAATTGAAAAAAGCATTCTTTTATAATTATAGTTGTTTAAATAAAATGTCTCTTTAAATTTATTATAAAACATAAATGGTTATTTTTAAGAAAAAAATTTTATTACATAATTTTATTACATAAAAAATCTAAATATGAGCGTATTATAAAATGGATTTCGATACATTCGAAGAATGTATTTCATAAATATAAATATATTTTTTAGATAATTATATTTTTAATCACAATATATAGTTTTCACATTTACATTGTATGGATAAGGAATATAAAAAAATTACAAAATAATTTAATAAGACACTAAAAAATTATAATTTTAATAAAATTAATAAATTCTATAATTATTTTTCACGACTATATTTGTTTATAATATATTTTTGTTATTGACATAATTGCAAAAGTATTTTCAATAAATCTATATATTTAAATAGAATATTTTATTATGAATTGAATTAAAAAAAAATATTAAAAATAATGTATTAAGATTCGTCAATAAATAATATATTTATTTTAATAGAACTTTACAATATTTGAATAATTTTCTAAATCGTTGAATACTTTTTATGAAGTTTTATTTATAAATCATTTTTAAAAGTTTTTAAAAAGAATAAAATATTCTTTTTCATCTGGAATTTTAAATTATTTTTATCGCTTTATAAAATAAAAAAAAGAATAAAGTGAAATCAATGATAACAAATTCATTATTATTTAAGAGTCAAGAATGATTTATTGTATTATATAAAAAAATAATATATAGAGTACCTTCATGATATTTTTAAAACTCGAAATTTCATTTAACAATTTAAATGTGAAAATTAACATTTTTATGAATTTGTATAATTTTTATTTTTATTTAAAAAATTGAAAAAATAGAAAAAAATAACTTAAAATTTAAATAATTATTTCCATAAATTAATAGATAAAGTTTAAAGTAATATTTAAATTATTATATTAAAAATGAATTATTTAATACTAAGAATTTAAAATGTTTACTTTAATATCCACTTCACTTTTTCTAACAATACTTATTTTATCAAGTTTTGTATCGAATTAAAATATCTCGACATTTTCGACTTAAAAAAGACCAAAGTCGATTATCGATAAGGTTGCTCCCTCCCCCTTACAAAGCAAAGGCAAGCTAGGGGCGAAGTGAATTGGAACGATGTCAGATCAGTGAGTATTTAATCAATTTTTTATAATTAAAATGAACACCTATGCAAGAATTAATTGATATTATTAAAATACGTTTTGATGTTGACAATTGTATAGAAATTTACTATCTAATATTGATATTTTTCTGGATATTCGTTGCTTGTATAGAAAAGGTTAGCAAGAAATTGCTTTGAACGATGACGTAGTAGCATCTGTGCACTACTATCTAAAATCCAAAATCGTTCAGATTGATATATTTATTCAGTTTCAGATACTTATGAGTTTCTGAATATAATACAAATAAAATATTATTGTATAGTTCTTTTTACAGTTTTATTGAAATTTAATATTATGTTTTAACACGCTGTATTAAAAATTTTGTTTTAAAAAAATATATCTAAATTTTTAAATAGTGACGATACACTGTTGGACGAAGATCTTGGAGATGAAGAGTATGATTTGGGTAACGACGAGGAAGAAGCCCTTTTAGCTGATGACTATGAATTCGAGAGGGTGAGCGTATAAGCGGCATATTACTTTTTTTGTTCGCCTAATGCCGCATATTTGTAATCTTTTAAAAATTATCATTGAAAAAATCAATAATTTCTGAAGTAATTTATAATAAAAATAAGTCGATACTCTTAAGTATATTTATGTGTGCGTGTATGTGTGTGTGCGCGCGCGCGTGTTTACGCATCATGCGTGCACATATACTTAATATCTGCATGGATACACATATACATAATATTTATTATTGCAGCACAATTATTTATTTCTTTCTTTTTTGAATATGATTTCAATTTCTTCAAGTTTATAACCTATTGCGAAACTAATCCCTTACCGACCAATAATCTTGATCTCCCGATCAATATTTAAATGACTTATTTAATGTTAAATGTCAATTAAATTTTTATATTTCTGTGTTGTAATTGATTGATTATACTATTAAAATGTTATTTTCCAAAGTCGTGATTAGATAAATCTATGTGATCATTTATGTCTCGCTATATATTACAAAATATTGATCTTAATGATGTTTCTCTTAATTATACTATCTACAAAAAATGTAATAACTAAAAAGGGAATACAAAAAAAATAAAGAGATCAAAAAGAAAATGGATGAACTGGAAATTTGTTTTATTAATTTTGAGGAATTAAGAAAATTTTTAAAAAATTTTAAATTAAAATTGTATTTATTTAAAAATTGTAATTCTTAGCGAAATTACAAATTATGCGTGACAAATGAGTATGTCGATAGTTAACTTAATAGATTTTCATACAAAACGAACAAAATTTCGTAATGGAATTGCAGAGGAAAGAAAATTGTAATTTAAGAGTAGTTGTATTAATTTATTACAAAGTATGATATTAAATACTTTTTTATATTTTCTAATTTTATTTAGTATAAATGCTGTTATAGCCATTTTCTAATATAATTTTGTTTTTTCTTGTTTTATTTAATATAATACAAAAGGTAGACATTTATTAGTTTATTTTTTATATATATAAATATTTGTGGATAATGAAACAAAGAATGTACTTTGTTTTCAAAACATTTCTTTTCTACTGATCAATATCTTTGCGAAATATGAACTTAATTTTCGTGCCATATTTAATACTTTTATTTTCACTTCGACGAATAATTTTATATATAAATTACTAAAATGTATTTACCAAATTTAGATAAACTATATACAATGTTTTCATTTTTTAATGCAATCTACTTCACTATATATATAATATTATTGTAAGTATTGTTAAATGGTTTGATATTTGATATAAAATTATACAATAATTTATTATATGTACAAATGTTAATTTTTATATTATATACATTCATGTGAATTATTAAGTATTCTTTAAAAAGAAAATTATTAAATAAATATTTTTTTAAATTTTATAATTAAATAATTTAAAGAAAATAATATTAAGCTGATATAAAAACTTGATCAAACCATTTAACTCCTACATTTGTGATTTTGAAATGTATGCTCGCAGTTTAACAACCAAATTATAACTTGTTTATTTATTAGGAATTAGTGATATTTTCTTCTAATAATTACTTATTGTATTAAGCGATTTACCTACATTTTATTTATGTATGTAAGTGTATATTTACAAAATATTTAATGCTAGGTAATTTTAGCACAACTATCATAATAAGAAAGTTGTGTAATTTGCGATGTGTTTAATTTGTTTGTAGCAATATACAAATAATAGAAACTGTGTGTCTTATATTTTATTTAATATACTTATATCAGATTTATGTTAAAATTTTATTTAATTGTAAAGATACTAATTAATTTTAATTTATTTTCAAGAAATAATATTAATAAAGTTCTAAATATATGATAACAATTTTATAATACAAATATTTTGATATTGAGATATTGCTACTAAAACAAAATTTTTTATTTCTGATGTGATATTAATCTTGCGTGAGCTTGTAATTGTTATATTATGTCAATCAGATAGCATTTATATTTGAACAAAATGAATAATTAAAATTCCAAAACATTGCTTTTTTAAATATATTAGTATTAACATTTTTTTATAAAATAAATTGAATGGATTAGAAGTTTCTTAAATAACAGTGTTATTAAATTTTAGTTGAAAATTTTGCTTTATAGTAATCAAATTAAAGAAAAAAGAATCCATATTTTATACAAAATGTTATTTAAATATCCAATTATGTGCAAAACAATATTTTGAATATTATGTTAATAACTATTACAATTGTTTTATTAACAAGAATATTACAATTTAACTGCAAATTAATTATACAGAAATCAAATGATTTTAATTTTACAAAAATACATATCAGAGTACAGGGTTTATCATATTATGAACCCAGTAAATGAATGTTTTACGTAGAATGTAATTGTAGTAAGTAAGAATAACTTAAAGTCAATGCACGCCATGCATTCGATATTTTCATATCAAATGTTCGCAATTTAGTTACCCGAGCAGCAGACTATATGTAAGGGAGAGGAAGAAACAGATGATGTACTGGACCTGGGTGTTACCGATGCACTTGATGATTTGGAAGCAGAAGAAGAAAATATACAATCAAAATGTAAAAATGATAAACCTGATCTAGATGAATGTTTTACTAATAAACAAATGATGAATACCTCACATGAACAAGCTACACGTGATCAAAAGATGCAAGCTAATTCTCAGGATAATCAAGACCACCATTCTGAAGAAGAATCAAATGTATCTATTATACATTCAAAGATAGATTTGCGAGAGAAATTGCGAGAAAAGTTAAACAATCAACGAGAAATTTTTATAGGAAATGGTCAAGGAATGGAAGATGATGATTGTGAAAAAGCCAAGGAAAGAAGAAACAGATTTCAGAATGAACGAATCATGGTACCACAAAAGATGAACCATGATATTCCAGACTCATTAGAAAATGTTGTAACTATAGAACAGCACAGATCACATTACAGGAGTCGGGAAAGAGGGGATAGAGGTGATAGAAATGATAGAAGTGATAGATGTGATAGGAACGATAGAGGTGACAGACTTGATCGCAGGAATATCAGAGGAAGGAGTGGTGGAAGATATGATATTCATCAATCAGGAAGGTAAGTTATATAATTTACACATATAATAAATTTTATTATTTCATTAACAAAAGAAGATTTTTAAATTTTAAGATTTCTTTTTAAGATGGGAATCTTTAAAAACTTGATATAATGCTTTTACTTCCTTATATATATTTAAACATTCTATCATTCTTAAATTTTTAATGTACTGTATTGGTATTTTTGTATGTAAAAAAAATATTTTATAGAATATTTTATCTGAAAATTTGTCCATAATTTAAATGTATTTTTTATATTCTTGTTTTACAATTATTTGATTATCTTATTAATAACATTTTGGGATAATTTTTAAATAGATATCATGGGCGTGGTACTTCATCATCAAGTCAACAAACATCTTTTCGAGCACCACTCTTGGAAAACCGTCCATCATTTCAGCCAGTATCATCTAATAATGTATCAATGCAACATCACCAAATATATCCACATCAAAATTCTCAAGTTCAGCCTACTTATCATCACCCTTTGGCAAATGGTCCTATGCCAGGACATCCTCATTTTGTTGACAGTCGATTAATGCCCAATCAATTTCCAGAACCAATGAGACCTCAAGGTCCTCGTATAACTGCACCAAGAATAGATTATGGGCAACGATCTTCAACAACAGGTCCTTCAGGTACATCAGGTCCTTCAGGAATTTCTGTCCATCCACCAGGTCCTATGGGTCTTGCAGGAATACCATCTGGACCACCCGGAGTATCAGGCCTTCCTAGTTCTGGACTTTCATATAATTGCTCAACCAATCAAGTTTCATTTGGATCAAATCAAAGCATATTTTCCAACCATGTAATGCATATGCCTGAAAGAGGACTACATCCAGGCACTCAGGGACTACTACTACCTATATTGTCAGCTTCTGGAGGACCTCATATTTCTGGAAACCAAGGTTCAATGATTCCAGTGAGTCAAGGAGTACAAGTACAAAGTTTTGTTAGATCCCAAGCTCCAAATCCACCAACAACTCATCAGAATCATCCAAATGTGCCTAACCAACCAACTTATGAAAATAGGATACAATTTTCAGATCCTCAGTTTGAAGGACATTCATCATTTGACTCAAGAAACTCATATAATAACCCAACAGTTAATCAATTTAATAATATGTCACAGATTGGACGACCTCTTTCACAAAATACATCTCAACAAGTCCTTGTGGGAATTACAAATGTATCAGCAATTCCTAGTATTCAAAATGTTCCAACTATACCAACTGGGCATAAAATATTGATTAATCCACATTTTAGAGGTAATCAGACAAAAAATGAAGGTAAATTAATTAATTAATTACATGTAATTCTAAATTTTTTTCAATAATTTAATATAAAATAAAAAAATGTTTTTTCAGCAAAAACAATACAAGATCCTGCAGATAAATTTGTTCAAGCGTTAAGAAATGCTTCGAATTCGAATGCTCGTAATAATCGTTCCAG